CAACACCAGAACCTATTGTGACCTACAAAGTACAGTCCACTGTGGCTCAGTTAACGTTTGTTTGTTTGTTTAAAACTTGTGTATACAATTTACTACCATGCGGTCTTGGGACAATCTTAACATGCTGCTGAAGCCAGCACAGTTCCCATTGGTAACCACCCCAGTTACAATGACTTGTTGTTGTTCTTCAGTCGCTAAGTTGTGTCTGACTCTTCATGACCCCATGGACAACATTCCTCCAGGTTCTTCTGTTCTCCACCGTCCCCCGAAGTGCACCCAAGCCATAGTGATTAAAAGTTTTCAGTCTGTAGAACTTTTGTACAGGCATCTGGAACCTCCTTGTTCTTTTGCCGCTTTATAACTGTAAATATGACTTAGCTGTGCCCCAGCATCCATTCCAGGTATTGGAAACCACCTCAGCAAGATGCTGTTGGTGGATTCTTTTCTGAGTGCACCTGCCTCCTTCTCTATTGCCTATTCAGTGGCAAGGAGGAGCAATTTATCTGTCCCTGAAAGGTTCTGGACACTGGTCCTTTCCAGAATTGAGAAGCTGCATCAGATGAACAGTTATAATGCTTTAATCACAGCTGCTTTGCACTCAGACCGTGATCTCATCTCCTCCTTCTCTGCATGTTTGTCATGTTTCTTGGTTCCATTGTGAGGGAGATGCTCAAAGACTCCTTGCAACGTTGTGACTTTAACTTTCGTTAGGGTTTTTGGCAGAAACTGCAGTCTGCAATACAGGAGTGAAATGAGATAACAACTGTTCCGGTGCCTCACAGGAATGGTGGAGAGTATGAGCTGTGAAGCCTCTGATCAAATATACATTTTCAAGACTGGCTAAGGCAAGCCACCATCCCCTTTGGCTTAGATCTTATTTTGTAGTAGCTAGTGCAGTGCTGGGCAATTTGTGGTCATTAGGCTAACGAATTCCACACACAGGCCTTATAGCCTAGTGACTCTGGAAAAAAAATCAGGATTAGTGGGATGCCAAAACTGGCTGAATAAGTTTAGCCTGGCACATCTCCACTGGGTTCATTAGGGGAAGGGTTCTTAATAAGCAGCAAATATCTGAAGGTATGCATCTTTCCCCACCTTCTTCCTACGCTGTGTAATGACTGCATTAATGGAGACAGGTTGTGGTAGTTGTAGCAGGTTTTATAGTTGCTAGGGTTAGATCGAGACAAGATTACACTGGTGAGTCAAGAAAGCTGAGCTGGAGCTTTGGCACATCTTTAGGGTACAAGACCAACCCTGGAAACCTAATGGGGGAGCAGTACCTGCTGGAGGGTTAAAGCTGTGAGTCTCCATCCATCTTCAGTCTGTGTGTGTAAAATTAAAATATGAATCACAAAACTGCTATAAGCCTCCAAGTACTTAATTGCAAGGAAAAGGTAAATCCTTGGTAACACTTGCAGCCCTGGAGTTCTTAACTCAGAGAGCTCAGGTATAAGGTCACAACAACATAAATGCTAATACATACCATTATATTACATTTATGTCCTTCCTTTCATCCTCTTGCAAAAGGGACCCCAAGGTGGCTTAAAAGGTTCCCCTCCTCTCCATTTTATCCTGAAAACAACCATGTTAGAGTTTGTGGCTGCCCAAAGAACCAGGATCTTCTGATTCCCAGTCCAACACTCTACCCAATGTATATGTGGCAATCTATGCTTGTCATGTCATTGTTAGAGGTACAAAAGTCTTGTCCCTCTTGTGTCTGGCCACTCTGCGGTATGCTGGACTTCAGTGGGACTAATCTTTGGTCAGTAGTTTAGGGAATGCATTCTTTGTTTATTCCAGATGGATCTGTTAAGACCAATCTAGTAAGCACATACATACCATAAGATAGCTATCATGTTGTTCTTTTCCAGCACTCTGTAGAAGTCTTAATGGGCGATTTCAGCTGTGTCTTTATGGAAATCACCACCAGATGTTTGCATGCTGTGTTTTACAGCTGTTTTATAATAGAAAAAAATGTATATTTATTTTCTCTCTTGATGAGAAAAGAAGAACTGGCATGCTCAGGAAAGGAAATGACTTTCAGAATGAACAGTCTGTATCTACACCTTGTACGTCTGTGGTTTAAACCAAAAAATGGTAAAAAAATAGAAGGGCCATCAAAGCTTTATTGTGTCTGGATATTTCATTTGCTGCCCATGGCTCACTCTTCCCTAACTGGGTACTTTCCAGATGCTTTGGACTTTGGAGCAGAAGCTCAGGGATCCACTCAGCAAAGTGAGCAGAAGGCTCTCAAATACATCAGTGCTCGCTTACCACATTTTGAAGCAAATGAGACCAGGCATATTACCATCAAGGCAAGAGTCCCCCCATAAAACCACCCAGTCTGGAGTATAAAATTACTTACCTATACAGTAAAACCTTGGATTGCGACCATAATTCTTTCCTGAAACATGCTTGTAATCCAAAGCATTTGTATATCAAAGTGAATTTCTGCATAAGGTTCAATGTAAATAAGGTAACTGTTCTGTAACTTTTTAAAAAAATCACAAACATTTGAAGTGGGCGCACTTGGGGGGGGGAGGCGGGCGTGATCGCAGGCACGCTGGTGTGGGGGAGACGATGCTATACTCACACCCTCAGTGAGAGAGAGAAGAACCAGCACTCAGTTGTGACGTGACACTCGGCAAGCAAAGTGTGCGTAATACTTGTACTGCAAGACATCACTCGTTTATCGAGTTAAAATTTAGAAAAACTTTTTGCTCGTCTTGCAAAACACTTGCAGACCAAGTTACTCACAATCCAAGGTTTTACTGTACCTCTAGGGAACTTCTGCTGAATTTGCTTTTTAGGGTGCAATCCTGTTCATGTTTAGACTGAAAAAGCCCTATTGCTCCCTGCATCCTGCAGTAATGCTGTCTGAGGCACGCTGGGTGTTAGGGCCTTTTTCTATGGATTATGCCTTTAAAGGTCCACAAGGCTCTTTGTTGCTTTTGCTGTAGCCAATGAAGACTAATGCAGCTATCCTTCTGGAAATCATTCCGCAGTCTCTGTTTATGTAAAACTTTTATTAGGCTTACCAAAGTTCGGCAAGCTTGTTTCATCTGCAGATTGTCAGGTAAGATGTGTCGAAAAGATAAAAAGGAGCAGTTACCATGACTTCAAGTCACCCCTGCTATTTTGAGTGCAGATTGCTGGATATTCCAAAAGCTTGCACATTCTGACCCTTTGGTTGACCTTGCAAAGGTAACTGCAAGGAATAAAAGCCCTCATATGGATTTTGGATTGAAAGAAGGGATATGTTGCCCTTATTTGTGTTGTGAGCCGTCCCGAGGCGTTGTTGCGATGGGGCGGCATAGAAATGTTTTAAATAAATAATAAATAATATTTCTCCAAATGCTCCAAAAAGCTTTCTCCAAAGCTTCAAGTAGCTTCTGGGCCTGCTAACAGGTCTGAATATTTTTTCTTTCTTGGGGTTCATGGGTTAACAGGTACGTGTGCACACACACACACAGACCTTTAACATGTACTCTTAAGTTTATACAATGTATCTTTTACCGGTTTTTAAAAATGTGGTTGGTGAACTGTTCAGAGAACTTCAGCTGTAGGGCGGTATAGAAATAAAACAAACAAACAAACTGCGCAAGGCTACAATTCCATCCAGGATTGCCTGGGAGCAAGGCATATTCAGTGAAGTGGCTGGTTCTGGGAGCAGGATAACCAGAGGTAATGTTAGGAAGGGGCTAGGAAGAGCCAATTTGAGGTCCTGAATTTCAGGGAACACCAATGTTGTACATAGGCATGAACTGAAATGAACATCCAGGGCCCATATAATCTTTGTGGTATCTCTTGGATTTAGCTGGCTTTTTGTCCCCTTGTGCTTCCCCTCCTGCTGCCTCCTTTTTAAAATCTTTCTGCTCGAGGTTCTCCCCCACTTCCAGAGATAAAATGCCTTCTACTCCTGTCGATTCATCTACTTTTATAAATAGGGTATCCTTAGCAGACAGGGCCCTTTAAAGACAAAGAGACTTTAGGGCATATGTAATTAGCACATGCACATTTGTGCTTTGGGGAGTTTTGATCCTGTAGGCCCGAGACTGGAATCTTTTCAGTTCCAACCACCACAGGCAGAGGCAGAATGTGGGTGATTCCTGAACAATGCTATCTGAACCCAGTTGTGGTAACAACCTATGGTTGTCGACCACAAACAACCCACAGTTCGTAGCCCAACAAATGTTTGCATCAAGGCTTGTTCATGTTTGGCAATTCATGGTCTGCTAGACCAGCTGGGTTCAGACAGCGCGAGAACCCACGTCTCGACGAGGCCCCACTCGAACGCGGGCCATTGCGCAGCCTCAACCCGGGGACTGGGCCTTTCTTCCGAGCGAGCGAGCGAGCGCGCCTGGGGCTGCGCGGGGGAAGCCAGGCGCCGGAGCCTTTCCCGGGCCCCGCGGCGCGCAGCGAGGCGGCCCCTCCCGTCGGACTGGCTCGGCTGGAAGCGGCGAGAGCGGCACCGCGGGGCATCACCGCTCGCGCCGCCCGCTGCCGCGCCGGATTGGCGAGCCCGCCCCCCGCTCCGCCGGGCCCAGCCAGTCCCTGCCCTTCCCTCTCGGCGTGCCAGCGAGCGCCGCCCTTCTTTCGGAGGAGGCGGCGGCGGCGGCACCCGCGCGCTGTGCACGGAGGCTCCTCCGCGCGGCGCCAAACGGGGCTGGAGCCGCGCGCAGCCGGTGCGGAGGGGCCCGCGCGCAGCCGTCCTCCCCCTCCGGGCAGCGGCGAGGAAGAGCGGGGTGGGGGTCCAGCTCTCCCGCGGCAGCTCGGCCTCCTCGATGTGGGGAGGCGGCGGCTGGAGGAGGTGGCGGCGGCGGCGGCGCAGGGGGCTGCCTGTGCCTCTCCGCGGCTCCCCGGCTGCGCGCTCCGTGCAGCTCTGAGCCGGGCGCGCGAGCCGCCGGCTGGCTCCTGATCCCGCTCGCGGCCGGTCCGGCGGGCTTGCTCTGGGCTCCCGCGCCCCTGATTCGCGGCTCTTCCCGCCCCTGCTCCACCCCTCCCCCTCCCACTCCCTCCCCAACATCCCCCTTCTTAACCCCCACCCTTCTCTCCCACCCCGGCGCTGTGGCTGCGAGGAAAAGTGTCTTCATGAACCCCAAGGATGTCCGGGAAGCACTACAAGGGCCCTGAAGTCAGTTGTTGCATCAAGTACTTCATCTTCGGTTTCAATGTCATATTTTGGGTAAGTGGGAGAATTTCGATGCTTCGATTTCCTGAGCTACGATGGCTGCTCGTGGCATTTCTGTGCCTGCGCGCGCGCGCGTGAATTCAGTCCTGCAGAAAATAAACACGCGGCGCTTCAGCGTGCAATGGGGTTGGATGCGTTGAATTATCATGGTTCTCCCCGTTCCTTTTTCTTATATCTTTTGGGGAGCTTCGTATCTTTGCAACTCTTTATAGTGGCAATCCCACCCGTGCTATGCAGGATTTTATTCCCTTCGGGAGGACCGTTTGTCACCTCTGGCTGGGACACCTTTCCCCGGTGCTTTCGAAAAGATGGGCTCTCTCCGCCGTTTTCCCAATAGATTATCGGCGTGAGCCTCTTTTCCGTCCTCCCTAGTTGCCCCTTTTGTTGTGATGCAAAGCTGATAAGACTTCCGTGGCTTGGGAAAAGCGCAAAGCCCTCTGTGTTCTTGGAAGACAAGGAGCCATCTAGTTTGGGAGCAGGATTACACAATGAATGCGAGCCTGAAGTGGGTTCGAGGTGGTTTGCCCTGCGAATGCAGCAGAAGCATCAAGAGAAGAGAATTCAGTACTTAAGTTACTGCAAAAATAAACGAACAAACACAATTCTAGACTACATGGCGGTTAGGATAAGCATTCGCATTGTCTCTTTGCTGATTTCCTTTTGACTCAATCCCCCGACCTTTTAAATTGTCTTGTCGGTGCTATGGAGTATTAAGTCACTGTTCCGTTTGCATTGCTTTTTCCTTTTCTGAGATTGCTTTGGATCCCTTTTTAAAAGAAGTGTCTTGCCATCCTCCCACCCCATCCAACCCCACCCCACCAGCAGAGCAGAGATCTTACATTTTGGATTGATAGCCACTTTCTGAAATGGAACAGGCTATTCCTACACATATTTCAGATATAAATTATTGGATGTGTGTGTGTGTGTGTGTGTGTGGAAACAATTGAATAAGTGGGCTGATATTCATTGCAGCATAGCTGGGTCAATAGGAGAGCTCTCCTGAACTAACCCCACTTGTGAGCAGCTCATTACATAAAGGCAATTGATTCCCTGTTAATGGTGAGAGAGAGCACATGCATATTAGAAATTGGGAATGCAGGTTTGCATATAGCTTCTGCATAGTTTATGGGGACGTGCATTAAAAGCCATTTGGATTTGTTGTTCCATATGGAAAGGAAGGAAGTGTCACCCACCCTCATTCTCTTTGATAGAGCTTTGATTATTCCTGGCACTCTATTCAAAAGTTAATGGAGACTCAGCCAAAGGCCTAGAACAGGAGCAAGGTGTTAATGTTGCTGTGGAACCTGCCAAGCGGAAGAGAACAGAACTTGCATATAACAAACTGGGCTCTAGTCCATCAAAGCTTTTGCCACAATAAATGTGTAAATCTTCAATGTCGGAAGAGCCTTAGTTGTATCTGGTTGTTAATGGTCTCATCCTAGAAAGCAGAGGCAAAGGCTGGGGTAAGTGAATCACTGTAGTGGGGAGTCCCTACTGGAAAACTGAAGGTAGGGTTGGGATAAAAGAACTGGATGTATCTGTGACATAGTCCAAGGATCTGTGGTCTTATGAAAATCATAGTGAGTTTATCAGAGGGCTGGCAAATGTCTAACAACTCTTGCGTGCACCATCCTTGAAGAGTAGCATTGACTGTACATTGCATTAAATAAATCAATGCAGTGCTTCTCCCATTAGGGTTAAGAAGAAAATATCCAAAGATGGTGTAGATTGAAAACTGGCATTAAATTTTAGGAAACAACCTTATGCATGTCAAGCACCACAGTACTTCCTCCCTGCCCCCAGAACTTTTATCTTTTTGCATCTTTCTAGAGAGTAAGGGTTAAAAATAAAGCTAATTTTCCACACAGCTTTTGGCTACCCGCCCACCACTTTCTCATGGAATGGTGCAATGAATTGTTCCTTGCCTATTCCTAATTTCATCTTTGTATTCCATCTGAACCATTACAGATCTGGTGTGGTGGTTTGCAGCAGCTGTTCAGCTGTCCGTACTTTTAGAATGGTGTGTGTGTGGCGCGCGTGCACACACACACACACACACACACACACACACACGCGTACGTGTCGGAGAGAGGGTAATGCAGTGAAATAAATACAGATGTTCTCCAGCTGGCGAAGGAAAGGCATTGTAGAATGCAGCACATGGATTTTTTAGATGGAACACGTTACAGGTTTTTGACTATATCCTTGTGAGATTTAAGTACTGTGTTAACATGCAGGATGTGACATGATACGTTGACAACAAAACCAAAGTTTCTCGCCATCATTTAGATTTGGTAACTTAAGGGGCAGTGCTATGCATGCTTAGGCCTACAGCTCACTGCTTTCCTGAAAATTGTAGGACTGACTAAACATGCATAGGAGTGCACCTGTATTTGCCATAACTGTGTGTGTTCGCTTTCATCCCAAGAGGAGCTCTGTATTGATTAGTGCGCAAGACAATTCTGAGAAAATATTGTGATGCTTGAATTTCCAGTTCAATTATTTCAGGATGTAGAGTTGGTAAACTGAAGGTCCCCTTCTTATGGTGTAGTTAGAGATAAGTTAAAAGCTGTTTACTTGCTGCAGTAGTCTAAATGCAGCTGCAATGAATGCAGTGCTTTTAGTATTAGATCCAAAGCTTGGGTAGAAATTCTGAGATCCTCAGTCCGACTTCTGGTATCCTTTGTTGCCTTCTCATCATTTTTGTTTTGGCTTTTGAGTGGTAGTGTGTTTTCAGATTGAATGTATTCTGCATGGGATTTCATTTTTTAGTTTTTGGCAACAGCTACTTCCTAGCTTCCAGATTTTTATACCTGGCTACTATTTTCAATAAGCATTGGCTGAAATCATCTAGCGGTTAGTGTCTAATAGACTGTGATATTACCAGAAAGGAGTGTCATTGCCGCACTGGCTTAGGTGCTATGATGTCATAGAAGCAGAGCAGCAAGGCTAGCTAAGTGCAGCGTAGGTTTTAAGAACTGAAGTTCTAGCAATAAGGAACAGCTTTTGTTAAAACTGTGTAGGTATTACCTGATCCCTATAGGCTTTCTTACATGCATCTTGTTTGTATGCATTGATTAGTTCTGAAGTAGTTCCATTCTTTTGTAGAATGCCAGCTAGCTGTAAGATGAATTTTGTGGCTTGTTTTTGAGTGCGAGAAAGAAGTTTAGATAGGAAAAAATACTTAACATATGAAATAACTTCTGAATTTTTAGGCTTCCATCTTTCTCCTTTTAAGAGTAGTCCACATGTTAATTGAGTAATTCAATGTATGGCTTGAGAGCTATAAGGACATTTCTTTTGAGTTACCATTTGATTGGCCAACACTGGCATATGATCTGAATTTGGTTCTGCTGCTTTGGTGATTTTACATGTATATCATCATGAATCTTGCTATGAATGAGACTGTGAACTACCTGTTGCTTTGTTCCTGAAAATGTAGGATCTAGGATGGCTATTGTATTTGTAAAAGCAGAGCCAAATTTGTTCAGCAGCTCACTTGTCCTATCTTCCACAAGTTCATCTGTACCTGGCAAATCACTGAGCCATCCAAGATTTATCATACAAACCAAGGACCTGTCTGGTCTAATGAGTCATTTTCTTTTTTCAAGGTATTTTGGGATGAAGGTTTTAAGTACATTCAGTCATACCCTTGTCTTAACTTTTGCTGAGCATGTGCTGAGATTATTTTTGTGATAGTAACCATATGGGATGTTTAAATTGTCATTGGATTTATTGGGGGATTGGCAGAAAGTGAGCTAAATCTGTTTATGTAAGTGTTCTCTAACTGTTGCTCTCTGTTGGATAATAGCTAACATGACTACAGATCATTAGTAATATGTTCTGAATGGATTGTAGAGTCTTCCCATGGCAGTTTCTTATTAGAAATGGGAAATGAGGCTTGGGAAAATCGGAATTGCTACTCTTCCAAATTGGCACAGAATCCATCCTATTTTAGCAGGATCCTCATTTCTTTCTGAATAGTCTGCAGTGGATACACATGGTTATGTGTATGTATGTGGTGAGACTCCACAAGATTAAAACAGTTACTAGTTCTTATTTTCAAGAAATTTGAAAGTGCATTAGCAATGGCTGCTGAAATAGTAGAAGCTAGATAACTTGATACAGATGTGCAGGTGAACAGAATTGTGCAATGGACTGGCATATCTGTAAATTAAATCCTGAATTACTTTTTCTTGCCTGTCCTCCTTTCCCTTATTAGTGCCCAATCAAACATTTCTTGGATGCTTTTTAAAACGCTCTCTTTAAAACCTGTTTGGATTTGTAGTTGACATGAAACAACGTATCCTTGCTATGCTATGCAAAAGGAGAAAGTAAATGGATTTTGTGAAGGACCAGTCACAAAAGCCAGTTCTGTGCAATCTGATTTCTGCTGAGAACAAAAACAAACAGCAGTCCAAACAGAGGTAGCGATTTTCCCTGAGCCTGATCCAGATGAGTTGTCTGCGGGGCTCACTGCTGAAAATGGAGTGGAGCTCCAGTCCTTGCCTCTTGTGCTGGCAGAACTCAAATTCGTCATGTAACACAGCAGGTAGTTGGGGTTTAGTGGACTGAACTTTCATTTTTGCCTCCCCTTTTTGCTAATTGGTAATAGTGCTTGGCTACTGTGAAATATTTTTCCATGTGCACAACACATGGTCCTATATTGTCATTCTAAGGATAGTGAAAAGCCCGACCTGTCACTGTGTGACTGCTCTGGGGGGTAATTTGTCCTGGCAGCTGTGCTGTTCTGTAGCCTGATGCACATGTTAACTTTCCAGCCCTTTGGTTGATGTATCAAGTGGCAACTGATGTATTTATCTCTAGGTAGTAAACTACAAGCTGCACTCAAATGGTGACTGGAGGCAATTCATTAGTGGTAAATGGGAATCTATGGTAACGGCAGTTTACTTGGCAGCTTCCCCAGTGTGAGACTTGCGTACCCTGGATTAAGAGCAGGAGGAGTGTCTTGGCTGGAAGCAGGAGCTTTCTTT